TCCCGTTCTTTTAGGCCCCCCAATCAAATGTGAGTGTGAATTTATTACTATACTTTTGTGTGTTTTAATAAAATCAAATGGATTATGCTATGAGACCCTCTCTGTTATTTTGTTTGCATGCATGACGGTACACCATCTGAGAAGGACCCATAGGATCAAACCATTGAAGACCTAGGAAAGGAGTATATCCCCAGACACAAGCACTACTGACCTAGCTAGCAATTGTAGGTCAACAACTTGTGGTGAGTGTTGGTCTGCATGGGAACACTGTAAGACACTGAGAAGTGGAGCTTCATCTGGGACTTTTTACTTGGGTCTATTCACATTATTATTTAGTTTATTGTTATTTTTGTATTACTATAATATGTTTGTTATGGTCATGTTTTACATTTTGTTTATGAAGGTTTAGTGCAGTGTGGTTTATTTATGAAATTAGATTTTATGCTACCATGTTGTTGCTAAAAAAAAGAAAGAAAAATTGAATACTTACCATATATCTTCCCCTCTTGGCAGATATACATGGAAGCATACTAGTCCCACCTAGTCATTCTATCTAAGGAAATGTTGGGGGGAGGGGGGGATCAAAACGCTCATTACTCATCAAAAAGATATTACTGGTTCACTGGTTTTGGATGGGGAGAGACTTCTACTATATGTGTGCTGCCATTTATAGATGCCAGGAAAAGAAAATTGCAGTAGGTATTGATTTCATATTCCCTTTATTTGTTATCTAGAGCATTGAAATACATATGTTAATACGTAACATTAATTTACTATTAAAGCAGTATTAGGGCTACGCTACAAGAGATATTAATCACTTGTGACAGTTCATGATTAAGGGCCTGTTCACACTACTTGTCCGCACTGCATGGGAATGCACTGTGTTCTTTAGATACACAAAGGTGCCATTAGTTGTTAATAACACCCACATGCATCTGGCAAATGCACATGCATTTGCTGTGGTGTGATTTAAAAAAATCATGCCTGGCTTACTTTTTGCACATTCCTGCGTGTTTGGCAGCCCACTGAAATGAATGGGCTGTTGTGAAATCACGGGAACACACCACAAGTGGTATGAACGGGCCCTTAAACTGTTGTTGACAACTGCATGAAATTCAGCATTTTGCAAATAAGGTATCTGTGAACAAAGGGTTAAATTGTACAGTGAAAGGTAATGACACCTGCCATGACAAAAATGGAGGGAGGGGTTCACCCACCCAGGACAAGTGCGCAGTTCAGGAAAGTCTGAGAAAAGACCTGCTCTGCATCCATGATCCATGACTTAAGTAGTAAAGCCAGAGAATCAATAGAACAGCCAGGCAACTCATATTTCCAGAGAGGACAAGTCAATAATGGCAGCCTCCAGGTTTCTCTCAGGATAGGTTTCAACTAACCTTCACAAAAGTAAGCTGATACTAGTGCTGTGATTTTAAACCTAAAAACGTGTCCACACCTGAAAAGTGTGCTTGTAGTTTGTAAATCAGGTGGAAAAAGAGTAAAAAGGACTTTGTTACTTTCTGTGTAATTGCTATAGACATAAATTTATACATTTTCCTTGAAACAGAAATTGTTTCATTGTTTGTTAACATAAGTGATGATTACTTAAGCAAAATGCAATCAAAACTTATAGACAGCCACCTAGCTGTTAACCAGTACCCAGGATCTAAAGATGGCCATACACTGATCATTTTTTTTTCCATTCAACCTGCAGACTCAAAAAAAGAATTGTACAGATTTCTCTATCCATGCGGAACAGCACAGGTGGACAAATCTCCCACTGCAGTCTATTGTATTTTGACAGCTGGACCCAAAATACCCGAACAGGGCCTGCAAGTAACCGGATGCAGGCGCAGTGAAGCTGACAATTTTCTGTCAGGTTCCTCGTTTTTTCATTTGAAGGATCTTGTGCTGACGGAGCCATCCCTTTGGCTGGTTCATTAAAATAGTGATGAGCTTGGGTTTGTTCAGACTAAAATCCAAACCCATCCAAACCAATACTAAGAAGCTTCTGTCAACCATATAGGCCAATCATCTGTGGCAAAGAGTGTGTAAGTGTGTGGCTGTGGGGCATGCCCCGGCCACAGATGGTTGGCTCATACAGGTGAGGGCTTCTTGGCAGGCTCGCACAAGTATGTTTGGACTCTAGTCTGAACAAGCCCAAGCTCATCACTAATCAGTAGGGATGAGCTCAGGCGTGTTCAGTTTGTAGCCCAAACCCACCTGAGAAATTCAGTCAGAAATCTGTTACTGTACTTGATCAATCACAAGTGGCCAAAGCATTCCCTGCCCCACAACTGTACACATACATGTCTCTTGTATACGTGTGTCTATGGTGGGGAGGACAGGTAATGTCTTGGCCTTATGATTAACCTAGTACTGGTGACAGCTTCCTGATGGGATCGGACTAGAATGTTAACATGCCTGAGTTCATCCCTATGAGGATGAGGATCCAGATGAAATTTGAATAGTATTTAGCCTGGTACAAAGCTGGACGAAATGAAAAAAAAAAAAAAACTTAGGAGCTCACCAGGAGGTCGTTGTACTAACAGCGATTTCCCTGCCGAGCTATTGTGTTCTGACAGGGGTACAGGGACTGCCACCCCCCACCAGAACACACCGGTAAGCACTCACAGTCGTTGGCTGAGAGCTCTGATGGGATGCTGATCAGCTGATGGTTTTACAGCAAGCTCATTTGACAGAAGTTGGCCAGGAGATTGGCTTCTGTCAAACAAGGAACCGTATATGTGAGCTGAATGTCGGCGGTTATCGACTCTACTGATTTCAGCCAATATTTAGCCCGTGTGTACAGGGCTTTAAGCAGGCCATAGATGGAACAGAACTAGCTGAATTATTATCCCTGTATGGTTGCTCTCGCTGAACAGAAGCCAATCTAACAATTGACTTCTTTTTGAAAAGTTTGGGCTTGTTGGAAAGTTCTCGATCAGCAGTTGCAGCCAATGGGCAGGGGTGATCAGTGTATTCTAAAAGCAGAGGAAGCCCCTCTGTCATAATACAATGACACAGCTGAGATAATTCCTCCATCCACCTTGACTTTGCGGATGAGGGAGTTTTTTTTTTTTCTTCTCCATGGGCCCGATGAATGATCAAAAAAAAAAAAAAAAAAAAGTTCTCGATCAGCAGTTGCAGCCAATGTGCTGGGATGGTCAGTGTATTCTGAAAGCAGAGGAAGTCCCTCTGTCAGAATACAATGGCACAGCCAAGATAATTCCTCCATTCACCTTGACTTTGTGGATGAGGGAATATTTTTTTTTCTTCTCGATTGGCCCAATGGATGATCAAAAAAAAAAAAAAGAAAACCGACACAACTCATCTATGTTCAACCCTATGTGGCCAAAGCTCTTTTTATTTATAGCTGAAAGGCACAATCATATCTACTTGTGATAAAATTAAAAGGACACTTAGATTAACATAGCTACATCAACAATAAAGTAAGTTCTGATTTTGAAGGTCATATGGCTCAGTTTACAAAAACTTTAAACACAAGAATCTTTATGCAACAGCATTTTCAAGGCTTGTTGGAAATAATTCACATTTATGAACAAAAAGGATCCTTATCCTGATATGTTGTTAGGTATGTTAACTGAGCCTACAGAGAAAATAAATTAGCATTTTACAATGGTATATAAATAATAGAGTGAGGATTATTATATAATAGTGCAAGAAGCAAGTCCGCGTACAAAGTGCAGCAGCCTATAGCAACAACAAAAAAAAAAGATTTTCCAACTCACAAATGATCACCCAACAAAGCACACACAATATTCTGACATCAACAAGAAATAAATGAACACGCTTTAAGAAACAATTGATTTTGTCAGGTACGTCATTTAGCTGCCTGTATTTCCAGTTGTACAGCTGGAAGATTCAGTACGACTTTACCTTGAAGGTTCTTGCAGCTGAAATACCTGCCACTTCCTGATTCTGCCATTAGTCCAGTCTCCGGGCTTGTCAACGATCTGGCTTTGATGTTCTGCTGCTTATCCACATAATAATGACCGGTTGGGAGTTACTGACCTGCTTCTTGAACTGCAAATAGGAGTTGGCACAGGCCAAGAGTACTGTAGTCTGGTCACTTTTTAAAGCAGGAGGACAGCTAAAAAAAAAAACAGGATCTGTGAAGAGAGCAGGAACTTGGCTTTACCTCCCTGACCCCTCCCCTGTGGGTTTTGTACTTCCCAGCAGCCAATAGGAGCTGAACACAGGAACCCAACTGAGCTGCTCTAATGACTGGCTTTCCACTAGGCTGCTTTCCTGTCTCACACTCACTTTCCCAGGCTTTGTCTGCTTTGTCTGCTTTACACTTTGTGCGTGACACCCACATCCCACTTCGCAATCTGCACATACCTGAAGTGTGCTTTCTGGAAACGGCTGGCTATTTATAATTTTTTTCTGTTAGTGTTTATGACAACTGCATGTCTAACCATTTATAGGTATGATTAAACAACAATGGAAAAACAAATTAAAATAGTGACAGAAAACAAAAACAACTTGAGACACTGCGTCATAAGTCAGTGTGTGTTATTTCCACAGACATGAGTCTTCATGCATCGCTGCCATAACTGTATTAGAAAAGTAGTTCTGGTTTGTATCGGTCCAGGTAAATGAGGGTTCATGCACACAGGTGCTTCATGGCATACAGCCAAAATTTGGGGTGTATTTCTGCACCTGGATAGAATATGTCACCAGCATACAAGGGAACTCCATAGAAGGGTTCAACGCTTTAATGAATGATCACATCAGAGCAGAAGATAGCAACGTTTCGGACCAATGCAGGACCCCTTCATCAGGCATGAAAAAGTGTATTTGTTTTCCCCAAAAATGCATTCGAAAAAACCACTGTGCAAATATCGTATGAAAAAGTGTCAGGATAGGCTGGGTACTTTAAGTAGCCATAGAGCCAAGTACAGCTGACCACAGTAAGGTCCGCAGTCTCTGGTCATCTCCTGTACTATGTCCGCAGTCTCTGGTCATCCCCTGTACTGTGTCCGCAGTCTCTGATCATCTCCTGTACTGTGTCCGCAGTCTCTGATCATCTCCTGTACTGTGTCCGCGCAGTCTCTGATCATCTCCTGTACTGTGTCCGCAGTCTCTGGTCATCCCCCTGTACTGTGTCCGCAGTCTCTGGTCATCCCTGTACTGTGTCCGCAGTCTCTGATCATTTCCTGTACTGTGTCCGCAGTCTCTGGTCATCTCCTGTACTGTGTCCGCAGTCTCTGGTCATCTCCTATACTGTGTCCGCAGTCTCTGGTCAGTCCTGTACTGTGTCCACAGTCTCTGGTCATCCCCTGTACTGTGTCCGCAGTCTCTGGTCATCTCCTGTAGTAGGTCTGCAGTCTCTGGTCATCTCCTGTACTGTGTCCGCAGTCTCTGGTCATCTCTTGTAGTATGTCCGCAGTCTATAGTCATCGCCTGTAGTATGTCCGCAGTCTCTGGTCATCTCCTGTAGTATGTCCGCAGTCTCTGGTCATCTCCTGCAGTATGTCCGCAGTCTCAGGGCATCTCCTGTAGTATGTCCGCAGTCTCTGGTCATCACCTGTAGTATGTCCGCAGTCTCTGGTCATCTCCTGTAGTATGTTCGCAGTCTCTGGTCATCTCCTGTAGTATGTCCGCAGTCTCTGGTCATCTCCTGTATTGTGTCCGCAGTCTCTGGTCATCTTCTGTAGTATTTTATGCAGTCTCTGGTCATCTCCTGTAGTATGTCCACAGTCTCTGGTCATGTGTAGTATGTCCGTAGTCTCTGGTCATCTCCTTTAGTATGTCCGCAGTCAAAGGTCATCTCCTGTAGTATGTCTGCAGTCTCTGGTCATGTGTAGTATGTCCGCAGTCTCTGGTCATCTCCTGTAGTATGTCCGCAGTCAAAGGTCATCTCCTGTACTATGTCTGCAGTCAAAAGTCATCTCATGTAGTATGTTCGTAGTCTCTGGTTACCACCTGTACTATGTTCGCAGTCTCTGGTTATCTCCTGTAGTACATCCGCAGTCTCTGGTCATCTCCTGTACTATGTGCACAGTCTCTGGTCATCTCCTGTACTATGTCTGCAGTCTCTGGTCATCTTCTGTAGTATGCCCGCAGTCTCTGGTCATCTCCTGTAGTATGTCCGCAGTCTCTGGTTACCACCTGTACTATGTCCGCAGTCTCTGGTTACCACCTGTACTATGTCTGCAGTCTCTGGTCATCTCCTGTACTATATGCACAGTCTCTGGTCATCTCCTGTACTATGTGCACAGTCTCTGGTCATCTCCTGTACTATGTCCGCAGTCTCTGGTCATCTCCTGTACTATGTCCGCAGTCTCTGGTCATCTCCTGTACTATGTCCGCAGTCTCTGGTCATCTCCTGTAGTATGTCTGTAGTCTCTGGTCATCCCCTGTACTATGTCCGCAGTCTCTGGTCATTTCCTGTAGTATGTCCGCAGTCTCTGGTCATCTCCTGTACTATGTCCGCAGTCTCTGGTCATCTCCTGTACTATGTCTGCAGTCTCTGGTCATCTCCTGTACTATGTCTGAAGTCTCTGGTCAACTCCTGTATTATGTCTGCAGTCCATTGGTTCAGAAATATTTTTTTTCTTGTTTTCCTCCTCTAAAATCTAGGTGTGTCTTATGGAGCGAAAAAAAAAAAAACGGTAGTTTTTATTCATTATAACATGATACATGTCTCGTTTGCTGTCCTATTAACCACTTGTCTCATGGAATGGGCTTTACCCATCCATGCAATATTTTTTGCTTTTTTTCCTCAAAGAATAGGTGCATGAACTCCCCCCTTCTGAATCACCCTTGTCTCCCTCCCCAACCCACCTCCAAGCACCATCTCTTGGTTCCAGCCCCTACTCACCTCTCAGTACCACCGCTTTTAGAGAATACAGAACCAAGTATTATTTTATGATGCTAAGTAGTTTGTATGGACTTTGTTAATGATAACAAGAAAATCAGTAAAATAGATCTTCTGCAGCCAAGAATAATAGACCTCCCAGCAACAGTAGACTCCCAGAGCAACAATAGATCCACCCCAGCAACAAATCTCCCAGCAGCTAGCATCAATAAACCCTCCAGTAGCTAGCAATAATGGACCCTTCCCTCAACATTAGATCCTTCCCAGCAACAAATGACCCCCAGAAATATAAGACCCTCCCTAGAAACAATAGACCCCCACCAGCAACAATAGAACCCCCCCCCCCCCAACAACAATCGACCCCCATATGAAAAAATAGATCTCCTCTGGCAACAACAGACCGCCATCAGCAACAATTGAAATCCACAGCAACAATAGATCCCCCACACTAAAATAAATCTCCTCCAGCAACTAGCATCAATAGATCCTCCAGCTCACCCTAGCACCCTTGCTGTTACATACACTCAGTGCTGGATGTTCCGGAACTGCGTTCCTGCTGAAAAAAAAGCCTTGATGACAACACAAACTATTTTCAAATGCATGGGGGTGCCATTGACAACTAGTGGCACCGCTGCATGTCTGCTAAATGGCAGCACATTTCTCTGGGTCTTGGGACATGCATTCCAGACATGTATGCAACTGTATGCGGGTTTATGCTGCTACTTTTGTAAACCTATGCAAGCTTAAAGCTTTAAGCCCCTGGACACAGATATCTGTGTCTAGGCTTGTACACCCCTACACATTAATGATCTGTGCTTAGACAATACGGTAAAGTACATTTTGAAGGAGATATTTTCAAGGGATTTATTGACAGGTGCAAAATGATCAGGACAAATCTTCTGCAAACATGTCTTGGAACATGTAATCATGTGCCCATCCAATTCTTTCTTAGTGTCTATACTGAGAAAGGGCTCATCTTTCAGCATCACAACAACCCAAAGCATACATCCAAATCAACAAAGGAATGGCTTCACCAGAAGAAGATTCAAGTTTTGTAATGGCCCAGCCAGAGCCCAGACCTGAATCCGATTGAAAATCTGTGGGGTGATCTGAAGAGGGCTGTGCACAGGAGATTCCCTCACAATCTGACAGATTTGGAGTGTTTTTGCAAGGAAGAGTGGGCAAATATTGCCAAGTCAAGATGTGCCATGCTGATAGACTCATATCCAAAAAGACTTAGTGCTGTAAAAAAATCAAAAGGTGCTTCAACAAAGTATTAGTTTAAGGGTGTGCATACTTATGCAACCATATTATTTTAGTTTTTTATTTTTACTTTCCTCCACCTAAAAGATTTCAGTTTGTTGTTCAATTGAGTTGTACAGTTTATAGGTCACATTAAAGGTTTGTAAAAAGTTTTGAAATGATTTATCTTTGTCTCATTTTTTACATCACAGAAACCTGACATTTTAACAGGGGTGTGTAGGCTTTTTATATCCACTGTATGTGCTTGCAGATGGAAGGAAATTAGCTCCAAAATTATCTAGACGCATGTATTTGGAGGATTGTCCATGAGACCTAAGAACAAGATATTGTCTACATTTCCTTGGGTACCAGAAAGCCCCGGGGATTTTACACTTCAGCACATTTGAGCTGCCAAGTGTCATTTTAGTGGTTCTGCTCACGTCAGTATACCTTTTAGAACAGATTTGAGTGGCAGAAAGCAGTAATCTCCAATTTTTGTATATTAAGCACTGATACAAAATACAAAATGTAACCTGGGACACTATACAACTTGCATATTTAAAGTGTATCTATTGTTAAATGTTAAATCGTATATTCATTTCCACAGTTTATTTCTAACCTACTGCTATTAATGAGAACAATCTTGAGGTTTGTAAACTTACTTTGTGAAGATCCCCACACATTTACTTCCTTGAATTCTGTAACTTGTTTTCACTATGCAATGTGGATAAGCACTGTTGTGTCACACATTTCACAGAGCCTGCCTTCTGAACTACAGAAGTCCTGAGAGGAGTTTCAGGAGGCGAGGTCAGTACAGGAATCACTTCTTGCAGGCAGCAAGGTACCATGTGATATGTATTTCTTAGAAATTGGAAGGAAAGAAGCAGAGGAGAAGCTGCAATGCATGCTGAAAGAGATGGCCAGGAGACAGGCAGCACTTACAACATAAAAGGAGATTTTTACAAGTTTTTTTTACATTCATATGTTATATACCATGGTTGGGCACAAACTAGCTCGTTTAGGTTTACAAACGTTATCGTGCAAGGTAATATCTAATTGGATATAAACTGAATGGATTGTTTAGCTAGGCCCTCACACTACACAGCTGTCTGCAAATTTAAATGAAAGCATATACAAAGGTGCAGCACTTGAGTGTAAAATAAATGATAAAAAAAGGAATATAAATAATGTCTGTGTATACTAGTGTAAAGAAACTAAAATCAGATAACACATATAAATAAAGTCCACAAAGTGCAGTGTCCATCAGTGTAAAAATTAATGGTGACCAGCAAAATAAGGTGACATCTGTGACAGGTGCATCTGTGACAATCCTCCACCACTATGAACTCACCAGAAGTAAGGAACAAATAGAATCTGTACAGAGGTACCATCAAGGGATGTAATCTTTCCACTGCAGGAAATGGATAAACAGCCAAAGTCCCAATGTGACTAGGCTCTCTATAGGGATTCCTATAGGATGGATACCTCTGCTCGTGTACATAAATCGACAATCAATCCGGATATAACGAATCCTAAACAAACGAGCTCAAGGACCAGAGCCCAGAAACGGTGGCATATAGTGTAGTATTTTTTATTCCATTAAAATCCAAAGCATCCACGTGGAGCACTAAAAATAATTTAAATACACTTATAAATATGGTTGCCGGACCATCACATGGACTCGGCGGGTGTGACGTCAGCACATAGGCTCCTCCCTGATGTGTTTCATGCACATTCTCAAAGGGACTCACCTCCTGCTGATGTCATTACAGTGTACATCTTAAATAATCCTCAGGTGAACGAACGGGCGCCATTTTAATTAAGACCAAACATTGCATCCTTGTACCGGATCATATAACAAAGAGCAATCATTTGAAAATGTAAAAAGATTGTAGTAATAATGTTAATAATGTTACGGTGTCAGTGTAGGATTTCAGTTGAATGACAACTATGACAACTAGATATATTATCGTAACAAATTCATCCCCTTTGGAGGTGAAATAAATGCAGGGCAGTGTCTATGCTCGAGACAAAGTGGATTTATGAAATGCGCACTTTATTCCCCTCAGGACACAATATTGACATAGATATCAACTGTTTTATTGATAACAGTTGATGTATATGTTCTTTCTTTTTATTTAGGGAGGACTACATATAGATGGGCTCTGTTTTGACATCTATATGGTCTTAAGGGCCTATTCATACTATAGAATGTATCAGTATACTATACTATACAGTTGCAAGAAAAAGTATGTGAACCCCTTGGGATTACGTGGAGTTTTGCATGAATTGGGCATAAAATGTGCTCTGAACGTCATCTAAGTCACAACAATAGAAGAACACAGTCTGCTGAACATAATACTACACAAACATTAGATGTTGCCATGGTTTAATTGCACATAACATGTAAACATTCACAGTGCAGGGAGGAAAAAGTATGTGAACCTTTGGACTTAATAACTGGTTGACCCTCCTTTGGCAGCAATAACCTCAACCAAATGTTTCCTATAGTTGCAGATCAGACCTGCACAACAATCTAGAGTAATTTTGGACCACTCCTCTTCACAAAACTGTTTCAGTGTAGCAATATTATTGGGATGTCTGGTGTCAATTGCTCTCTTAAGGTCATGCCACAGCATTTCAATCGGGTTGAGGTCAGGACTCTGACTGGGCCACTCCAGAAGGCGTATTCTGTGCTGTTGCAGCCATTGTTTTGTTGAATTACTTGTATGCCTTGGGTCATTGTCCTTTTGCATCACCCATCCTCTGCAGAGCTTCAGTTGGCGGACAGATGGTCGTACGTTTTCCTGCAAAATGTCTTGATAAACTCTGGATTTCATTTTCCCATCAATGACAACAATCCGTCCAGGCCCTGGGGCAGGAAAGCAGCCCCAAACCATGATGCTCCCTCCGCCATGTTTTACAGTGGGGATGAGGTTTTGATGTTGGTGTGCTGTGCCTTTTTTTTCTCCAC